ACGGATCCAGATACAACGCTTCATCCAGGTACTGGGGAAGTTGTCCCGCAACCACACTCTCAACAACCTTCGCTACAAAACGAAGGTTGGAGACTGGACGATAATTGGCCAATACTGCTGGGTCCAGGGAAGGCTTCTTGAGGAGGGGCCTCACCACCGCCTCCTTCAGGGCGGCGGGGAAGACACCCTCGCCCAGTGAAGCATTTATAATCCCCTGGAGCCAGCCTCGCGTCACCTCCCGGGAAGCCAGCACTAACCAGGAGGGACACGGGTCCAACAAACATGTGGTCGCATTCAATCTACCCAGAATCCTGTCCGCGTCATCTGGGGTCACAGGATCAAACTCATCCCAGATAACAGTCTCAAGACCTGCCTCCGTCACCCTCGCTGGATCTACCCAGTCAGAGTCCAGACCTTGTTGCCTTTGCTTATTAGAAGCCAGCAGGAAATTGCAGTGAAGTCCTTGCTTAATGACAGTAACAGGGAGTGCTGAAACTGCCGAAGTGTGATACAGGTAATCCTCGATTTACAACCACAATTGAACCCAACATTTCTGTTTCTGAGACTTTGTTAAGTGAGTTTTGCCCCATTTTACGACTTTTCTTGCCACAGTTGTTAAGTTAATTACTGCACTTGTTAAATTAGTAACCCGGTTGTTAAGTGAATTTGGCTTCCCCATCGACTTTGCTTGTTAAAAGGTTAAAAGAGGTGATAACAAGACCCCAGGACACTCCAACCGTCATGAATATGAGTCAGTTGCCAAGGATCTGAATTTCATCACATGACCATGGGGATGCTGTAATGGTTGTAAGGGTGAAAAACGGTTGTATGTCACTTTTTCAATGACGTTGTAACTTTGAACAGTCACTAAACGAACTGTTGTAAATCGAGAACTACTTGTATTTCACTTTACTAGCGATAAAAGTAAAGGTTTCCTCTGTTCAGGCATTTCTGACTCTGGGGGAAGATGCTCACCTCCGTTTCTTAGCCGAGGGAGCCAATGTCGTCTGAAGGTGCTTCCATGGTTATGTGACCAACATGACTATATGCTGAGGTGCACCGAACATTGTTATTTTCCCACCAAAGTGGTACCTATTTATCTACTCGCATTTGCAAGCTTTTGAACTCTTAGGTGGACAGTGTCAGGACTTCAAGTAATACATCCACAACAATGAGAACTCTGAGGCAGGCATTTTCCTCAGAGAACAATTTATTGGGCTATATCATATTGGCACAAACCTGGCGAAAACCAGCTCTAAACGTCCTGTTTTTCACCTAATTAAAAGTAAACGTTTTGTCCCTTCCCCAGAGTCATCGGTCACAAGGCCCAATCAGCACACAGTCCAGTGGTTAGATGACCCCAATCTCCTCCTTCCAAACACCTGCCCAAATGTCCTTGGTTCCCAGGGGAAATAATTTTGACTACAGCAGCCCCAACTATCTTTACTACCCCCCTCCATACCTTTCAACTCCAAGCTGTGTCAGCATTGAAGCAACAAGAAAAAAAATGGCCACTGTCATGCCAGGCCAGCTTAAGGGTTGACAGATAGCAGCTGGAGCAAGTAACGGGAGTTCACCAGTGGTGAAATCCAGCCGGATCTATCCGGCTCACATGATGCAGTAGGGCCAGTGGTGGGACACCCCGCCCACCCGCTCGGACATCATCACGTCCTGTGCGCTGACCCTCTGTGCATGCGCAGAAGAGGCACGGATGCTCACATTTCCGATCGGGTAGCGAAGGTAAGTGTATTTTACCCCTGGAGTTCACCCTATCACATAGCGCTCAGGTCTCAAACCCAGGCTGTCAGCTTTCCGCTGGCAAACTCAGCACTTTTAACTGCTGAGTCATTGTGTCCCTTGCTCTTTACTCCTGCATTGCTTAGTGATGAAAATTCTAGTCCCAATTACCACAGTTAAGCGAGGACCACTTGTATGCCTCTCTGGGATATCTATTTCATGATGACACATTTTTTTAATCCAAAAGCTGTTGTGCCAGATGCAACATGGCACAAACTTGGTCACCACATTATAAAACAAATACTGAGACTTCGGAAAAAGTGCAAAGAAGAGCAATGAAGTGGATTAAAGGTCTGGAGACTAAAACATATGAAGAACAGTTGCAGGAGTTGGGTATGGCTAGTCTAGAGAAAAGGAGGACTACGGGTGACATGATAGCAATATTCCAGTATTTGAGGGGTTGCCACAATGAAGAGGGGGTCAACTTACTTTCCAAAGCACCAGAAGACCAGACAAGAAACAATGGATGGAACTAATCAAGGAGAGAAGGAACTTGGAATTAAAGAGAAACTTCCTAGTATGTGCTCGCTCGCTGATCACACAAGTGGGGATGTGCACATGTGTGCATGCACACCACTTCCATAACCTGATTCCAAACAGCTCAAGGCCTGAGATGGGCTGCAGCCTGGTTATTGGGGACCCCTGACTTGTGACCATAATTGTCATAAGTCAATGACTTTTTGTATGGAGAATTTTATATAAAATAAAAGAAAAATTTAAAGAAAAATAAAAGGCAAAAGAACACCCAAGTGATTAAATATAATGAATTCTAACCTCTCTTCAACAGATAATTACAACCTTTTAATCCTGTCTCCCTCGTAAATGTTATAGACATCCCTTCAGCCCCTCTGTCAGGTTTCGATGCTATCTCAAAATAAATGAATTTCCAAACTGCCGATCTTTGAGGAAATTTTCTCTTTATTGAGCATAGCGATCTGATCCTGGCTCTTTCGCGGTCAGTACTGACCTTTACCCAGGGGTGGGTTCTAAATTTTTTTACTACCGGTTCTGTGGGCGTGGCTTATTTTGTGGGTGTGGCTTGGAGGTCATGTGACTAGGTGGGCGTGGCTAGCTGGTCAGAGTCATTTCTGGAAGGTCCTCACACTTACGACCAGTCCTCGGAGTTACGACCCGACTCATTTGTTTGCTTTTAACACTGATCAGCTGTAGGACGGCCCTTTGAAGCCCCACGGCAAGAGTTTAAACAGTTTTTTCCCTCTAGTCATCAGCTGGGACTCAGGAGGCAGCAATAGATTGGGGGTGGGACCAAATAAAAGGTAAGAATAACGTGGGTGGGAGGGCGGGGGGGAGAACCGGTTCGGTAACGTCATATCGTCACCACTACTGGCTCGGCCGAACCGGACCAAACCGGGAGGAACCCACCACTGCCTTTACCCCCCAATCCCTCCCTTTCCGATCCCCAATTCTCTGCTTCTCATTGGCTATCTTCCAAGCCACTTTCCTCATCCCTTCTTCGTCAGATCACAGGAATGTCTACCCCCCTCCCATCTCCGAGGAGACAGAATCTTCAAAGGGATTTAGTAGGCAAAAGTTCAAGCTTCTCTCTTTATATATGTCAGTGCTGGGACGCTGACACCCTCACTTAGTCCACCTTTTTTTAAATCCTCAAACTTGTAAATTATCACACTTTTCTTCTTTCAGCAAAAATTCCATACAGGTAGTCCTCGACGTATGATCACAATTAAACCCAACATTTCTATTGTCAAGTGAGACATTTGTCAAGGGAGTTTTGCCCTATTTTGCAACCTTTCTTGCCACTGTTGTTAAGTGAATCACTGCAGCTGTTTGTAACACAGTTGTTAAATGAAACTGGATTGTTGCAAGTTGAGGACTACCTGTATAAAGTTTGCAGTCTTTCATGAATGTTTTTGTTATTGTATTTTTCTCTGAGCTCCTCCTTTAATGTTACTTTGACAAATATCTCTTACCATATTTTGTTCTTCCTTCATTTTCCAGCAAAGACCACTGAGAATTGGCTTTTCGTTTAGAAAAATGAAATTATTTGGCACACATTGTTACAGAGTTCCCATGATCCACCCAGTGGTGAAATCTAAAATTTGTTATTACCGGTTCTGTGGGCGTGGCTTGGTGGAGGTTAATGTGACTGGGTGAACGTGGCCAATTTTTTTTTTAAACTTTTAAAACCTTTTTTTCTACAACCTCTTCGGCAAAGAGGTTATTAAAAAATGCTTTCAAAAGGCTCTGATGATCCCACCTGAGTTGTCTGATTGTCAGAGGCTTCTTTTCTTTTAAATGCCTCTGACGTTCAGGCAACTCAGCTTGGATCATCAGAGGCATTTAAAAGAAAAAAAAGCCTCTGCCGATCAGGCAACTCAGCTGGGATCTTTGACGATCCCAGCTGGGCTGTGCGATCATCAGAGGTTTTTTTTTTTTAAAGCATTTTTTCAGCTGAAGAGGTTGTAGAAAAAATGCTTTTAAAAGTAAAAAAAAAGTTTTTGATGATTGTGCGGCTCAGCTGGGCATGGGGAGGGCAGGGATTTTTGCTACTGGTTCTCCAAACAATCCACCTCCATCGCTACCGGATCAGGTGATCCGGTCCGAACTGGGAGCATTTCACCCCTGAATCCACCTCAAAGTGGCCAGCTTAGAGCAGGGTTTCTCAAATTTGGCCACTTCAAGGTGTGTAGACTTCAACTCCCAGAATTCCCAGCCTACCATGTCTATTGCCCTAAAAGCTTAGAAGTTTCCTTACATACAGTCACTGGATCCATAACACACTGGACATTTGAGCATGTCTAGTTTAGCAATTTTATATCAACAACGTGCACCTACAGGTAGTTCTCAACTTACAACCACAATTGAGTCCAAAATTGCCATTGTTAAGTGAGACATTTGTTAATAAGTTTTACCCCATATTATGACCTTCCTTGCCTCAGTTGTTAAGTGAATCACAGCAGTTGTTAAGCTAGTGACACGGTTGTAAAGGGAATCTGGCTTTCCCATTGATTTTGCTTGTCAGAAGGTTGCAAGAGAGGATCCCTGGACACAGCAACAGTCATAAATATGAGTCAGTTGCCAAGCATCTGAATTTTGATCACATGACTGTGGGGAGGCTGCAATGCTAAAAAACGGTCATAAGTCACTTTTTTCACTGCCATTGTAACTTTGAATGGTCATTAAACGAACTGTTGTGAATCGAGGTCTACCTGTATTTATTGTCATGCATACTGCTGGAAAGTCCTTTGCACCTGGACCCAGTTTAACAGACGTTCTCAAAACCAGTTTAGGACCAGTTCTGAAGACTTTTTTGGGTTTACAGTTATAACAAAGGCTAACTAAAGAGAACTTGTTCCAAAATGGAATCGTGATTGCAAACACATTTTTTGTTCCCTGTTGCTTTAAATCTGGGCTGTAAAATGAATTCTGCAGAAGGAAGCAGGGTTGGTTGGGAGATCATTTCACAATCAGGTTGGTCAAACTTTCCAAGAAGCTGAACGGGTTAAAAGCAGAAAGTTCAGCAGCTAGAGTAGATCCAGAAATGTAGAGTCCTCTTACTGAATTCCTTTTCCTGTAGCTCCTTTGGAGAAAACTTTGAGTTTGGTGTTGCCGTTCTTGAATTTTGCTGGGCGAATCTCAACAGTTCGGAAAGAGTAAGTTAAATTTGAAACTTTCAGCAAAAGATCAGATCAGAGAATAAGAAATCCAGGAAGGGGGAGTGGGGGGGGGAGGTTAAAGGGAAATTATCCTCGAGTAAATAATTTCTTTTAAAAAAATGCTCTTTTAATGCTCTCCTGGTAGAGGAGAGGATACAACAGTTGGTCCTTGCGGAGCTCTCCCTTCCTATAGAAAATTGAACCTCCATGTTCAAGCATAGCACCCAGCTCCGCAATCCAGGTGCGGGGAAAGGCATAAAAGGAGGGCGCGGAGGCGTCATGGGTGGGGGGGACAAAATGACAAAAAGAGCATCGGGGCTATTGAGTTGCAAGCGGCGTCTCTTCCTTCGATGAATCGAGACTCTCTTGTCATGTTCACCAAAGCCTCGGATTAACAGAATAACAGGAGTTGGAAGAGACCTTGGAGGTCATCTGGTCATTTAGCCGGAGCAGGGGGTTGGACTAGATAGCCTCCAAGGTCCCTTCCAACTCTGTTACTCTTAGTCCAACCCCCTGCTCATACAGGAGAGCCTGTATCATTTCCGATGGATGGCAATCCAGTCTCCCCTTGAAAGCTTCCAGTGATGAAGCTCCCACAACTTCTGAAGGCTAAAAGATGACCTCCAGGGTCCCTTCCAACTCTGTTACTGTTACTGAGTGGTCAGTGGGGCACTTGAGTTTACTTCTGCATCCCCCTTTTTCTGGTGACTCATAGATTCCCTACCCAGTTGATTCAATTTCATTCAAACACGGCAGTTGTTAAGTGAATGCTACCATCATTAAGCAAACCCATTGTTCACTAGGGATAGAAGCATGGGTTTCTGGCAAAAATGTAAATCATGGTCATGTGACTGCAGGATGCTATGAAAGGCCACAACTGCAGGGCTGGTTGCCAAGCACCCTAAATGTCATGTGACCCTGGGTGGAGCCCTCCCCCCCAGTCCTCAGAAGTTCAAATCTGGGTCATAAGTTGTTTTTTGAATGGTTGCTTAATGGCTGGTCGTAAGGCGAGGACTATCTGTAAGTCACAGACTTGGTGTTGTCGTAGTTCTGTGTCTACCATCTGCACAGCTATAGAAGAGCAATATTCTCAATAACAGTAATTGCAAGAGGGATCTTGGAATCCGAGTGGACAATCACTTCAATGTGAGCCAGCAGTTGTGTGGCAGCTGTCAATAGAGCCAAGGCAGTGGTGGGCTGCAGTAACAGAGGGATAGAATCAAGATCACGTGAAGCATTAGTATCGCTTTATAAAACCTTAGTAAGGCCACATTTGCAATATTGCATCCAGTTTTAGTCACCGTGATATAAAAAAGATTTTGACACACAGGAAAAAGTGCGCAGAAAAGAGCAACAAAGATAGAGGTGAGAGGAGGCTAAAATATCCAATGAGCGGGTGCAGGAACTGGGTATGTGTAATTTAATGCAGAGAACGTCTAAGGGTGACATGATAGCAGTCTTTCTTTTTTCTTTTTTTTTTAAACAAAAGTTTTTTATTTTTTATATTCAAACAACCAAACATTATCATACATCATTTTATCCCCACCCAACCCCCCCTCCCCAATCCCCTCCCCTGACTTCCCAGAGCAAAAACAGGATATAGCATTTAACAAAAATAAACTAAAATATGCTAACTATTACAGAATTCAAAACTCTCTCACACTTGTTAACTCCCCTTTTAAAAATTATACTTCAACCTTCCTTTTATAAATTCTCTTATCACATTTCACATTTGTAAAAAAAAAAAAAAAACATAATCTTATTTTAAATGTTTTAAAATCTCTCAATACATTAGCAGAACATTCTCCAAAATATAAGTTTCAAAAATTTCAAAAAATTATCCATTAAATTTTAAGTTATCCACCTTTAAACTTCAATACTTTAAAACTACCATAAAATTCAAAAGTTATCCAACTTTAATTAAATCTTTTAACATCATGAGACAATCTCCAAAATATGACCAGTCTTTCTTTCTTTCTATATTTTTTCCAGTCCTTCTTCAATAATACTTTCTTCTTCAGCACTGCTCCTCCCCCTGCTTTTATTTTCAAAAATTTTTGGGTTTGAAATTGTAGTTGGTATGTCTTAGGAATTCGTTCTCTTCTTGGGATTGTTTCCTTTAATTTGAAGCCCCCATTTCGACTCTTCCTGCATTTGTAATCCATCAGTTTGTTCCTTATATATTGATTCTGTCTGTAGAGCCAAAACTTGTCAAAATATTTATCAACCTGCAGGAAAGAGTCTTCTTGCTGCTTCTCGGTTAATTGAATGGAAGCCTCTTCCCACACTCAGTTAATTGAATGGAAACCTGTGTTTTCGATATAATAACCTCCATTTTAGCCCCAGCAATGTCTCTTCTATCCTCCAAAGGCGCATTGTCCTGATTAATTTCTTCCTCTTTTCCAGCCAGCAAGTCATTATTATTCCCCAATTTAAAATCTTGAATAGTTCTTTTAATTATCTGTCTTATCTCAGCAGTAAAAGATTTTAAAAACTCTTTTAAGTCCTTCGCAGTCACTACTTGTAAGTTTGCTGACTCATATAATCCATCTTTAATTTTGGCCATTTTTCAATTGTCTCTTTATGTTTGTATTAATTCGGCTATCAGGTCATTAAATCCAGTTATTTCCAAGCAAATTAGAGATATAAGTTAGTTAAAATCAATACCACAGTCTTTTCCATTCCACTTCCACTTTAAATCTTTTTCTTGAATAACCCGATAGCTTTAACAATGTTACTGATGTTAACAAGGACTTTCACTTATAAGTTTCATTTTCAAACCCTAAGGCGCCATCTTTTTTTAAACAGAGTTAACGTACAATACTTGCATTTTTAGTCTCCTCGATTAACTCTGCCAGCATCCAAAATCCAAAATCCAAATTCTTTATAATCCTTTTAGTTACTTGCTGGTGTGGTCGCGACGCTTCAGTCTGCTTTAAGCAGACGCGTCCCGGCTCCAGAGCTTTGAAGGGCTTTCAGGGAGCTCTCACCCTGGAAACCCCAGGCTTAAAAAAAAAAAAGCCTGGGGGTCTAGGGGAGCTCTATCCAGACCCTTTTACTCTTCTCTCCCCCTTTTCCCTGGAGGAGAGTTTTAAAGCCACTAGACAGCTGATTTTCGCTGTTCTAGCGGCTATACGGAGTCATGGTGCTGGAGCTCCTAAAAGGAGCTCCGTTGGCGTTTCGCGGAGCCACCGGAAGTCTCATGATAGCAGTCTTTCAGTAGTTGAGGGGCTGACGCAGAAAAGGGGGTCAACCTATTCCCCAAAGTGCCTGAAAGTAGGACAAAAAGTAATAGAGGGAGAATTATATAGAATTAGGAAGAAATTGTCAGTGACAACAATCAGTGGAACAAATTGCCTCTCAACCTGTGGTTGTTCCATCAGTGGAGGCTTTTAAGAGGAGACTGGAGAGCCATTTGACTGGGATGATATAGGTTCTCCTGCTTGGAGAGTTGGTCCCTTCCAACTCTTACTCTGTAATTCTGTAAGAACTTCATGAACATTTAGGGCTCAGCATGTAGCTCATCTTCAGAAGCTTAAGTAGCTTCACAATTCATTCTTTTACTTGGCTCTGTTGCAAAGATAGGTTGCTAGGAGTTTAAAACAACTTGATAGCATATAATCAGTGACAACATCTTGCCAACGCCTTAGGCAGAGACGGGACAAGCGTGTTTTTTTGCCTCCGGTCAGGAGATGGGGGTCACTTCTGCGCCTACAAAGCCATCAATACAGTAGCTGCATCTGTGGTTGATCCTTAAAGGAGTTAAAACCATCAAGTACTGTATTGCTAGAAAGGAATGAGGAAGAAGAGAAGCACAGAGGAACTTCCTGTACCGGATCCCTCATGGGTGGAAGGTGGCTTGCAGAGCGGCTTTTGGGCTCTTCTAAAAGTTGAAGCATCAGCTGGAAGGTGAGTTGAGGGCAAGTTGGAGGAGAGGCCAGAAGCAAGTTGGGCTATTTGGTTTGGATGCTGCCAACCGATGCACATTTAAGATGGTCGCAACATCCCACCATCATGATCCCCATTTTTGACCTTCCCAGCTTGTTTCTCATAGGCAAAGTTAGTGAGGATGGCAAGAAATTGCAAGTGACAGTCATGTGAAATTGCCTTTAACAACCCACAGTGGTTTGCTTAACAACTCCAGAGGAACAGATGTAAGTTGGCAGTTATGTGACATCGTGCTTTCTGATCGGGCTGCTTAGTGACACAGATCCCAGTCCCTAATGTGAGGACTCCTTGAAAGGGGATGTCACCAGAGGAATTGTGGACAGTAGGACAGTATTTTCTTATTTGGAGCTGAGGACTTCCATCGGTATAACTGGTGTTTTAAATTTTGCAAAGGCTTTAGGCATCATTTCATCAGTTAAAGCCCCCACATCTCTAAATTTAGCTGAGAAGGTTTAATTGTAACCATTTTGGGACATTTTTCAGGCTGAAAACATGGATTTTTCACATATATACATTTGTAGGTGTAAATGTAATTCTCTCTGCAGTTGGATAATCTGCAGTTGGATAATCTATCCCCAGTGCTTCTAGATATTCAGTTATGTGAAAAACAATGTACACCCTCTTTAAGTGGTATAGTTTTATGTATCAGGACATACTAAAAATCATCTGGTCTTTACACTCTTAAAAGTAGGTAAATACAACTTCAGATGACAAGACACCTAGAGAGCGGTTGGAGGGCCAGTCTCGCTGAATCTGACCGAACACTGGTAAGGTCGCATATTAAGACCTACCTAGTGGTGATAAAGACGGCAAAGTTTAATTACTTTTCCGCCACTATTGCGTCATCAGGGAATCGTCCGGCTGCCCTGTTCAGGGTAACCCGCTCCCTGCTCCATCCGGGAGCGCGGGAGGATCCCTTGGAAGGCAGGACGGAGGATTTCGGACAATACCTGTATGACAAAATCGCTCAGATCCGGGGGGATGTGGACTCTGACTGGGTAGATCAGGGCAGGGTGACGAGGAATAGTCTTGAGAATGTTACCTGGGAGGAGTTTGATGCTGTGACTCCCGATGATGTGGACAGGATTTTGGGGAGACTTAGTGCGGCCACATGTTTACTGGACCCGTGTCCCTCCTGGTTGGTACTGGCCTCCTGGAAGGTGACACGAGGCTGGCTCCAGAGTGTTATCACAGCTTCGTTGAGTGAGGGTCACTTCCCCGCCGCCTTGAAAGAGGCGGTGGTGAGGCCTCTCCTCAAGAAGCCGTCCCTGGATCCGGCAATATTGGCCAACTACCGTCCTGTCTCCAACCTTCGCTTCATGACGAAGGTTGTTGAGAGTGTGGTCGCGCGACAGTTCCCGCAATTCCTGGAGGAAACATCCTATCTAGATCTGTTCCACTCGGGTTTCAGGCCCAGGCACAGCACGGAAATGGCATTGGTCGCATTGGTTGATGATCTCTGGAGAGCTCGGGACAGGGGTTGCTCCTCTGTTCTGGTCCTGTTAGACCTCTCAGCGGCTTTTGATACCATTGACCATGATATCATGCTGCACCGGTTGGAAGAGTTGGGGATGGGGGGCACCGTGTTACAGTGGTTCTCCTCCTTTCTCTCCGAGCGGTCGCAGTTCGTGTTGGCAGGGGGGCAGAGGTCGACCTCGAGGCCTCTTATATGTGGAGTGCCTCAGGGGTCGGTCCTCTCGCCCCTCCTGTTCAACATTTATGTGAAGCCGCTGGGCAAGATCATCCGTGGCTTCGGGGTGAGATACCACCAGTACGCTGATGACACCCAGCTGTACATCTCCACCCCAGGCCACCCCAACGATGCCCTTGAAGTGATGTCCCAGTGCCTGGAGGCTGTGCGGATCTGGATGGGGAGGAACAGGCTCAAGCTCAACCCTTCCAAGACTGAGTGGCTGTGGCTCCCGGCATCCCGATATAGTCAGTTGACCCCATCACTGACTATTGGGGGCAAGTCGTTGGCCCCCATAGAGAGGGCTTGCAACTTGGGTGTCCTCCTGGATACGCAGCTGTCCTTGGAGGAACATCTGACGGCTGTAACCAGGGGGATCTTTTGTCAGGTTCGCCTGATTCGCCAGTTGCGGCCCTTTCTTGATCGGGATTCCCTGTGCACAGTCACTCATGCCCTCGTCACCCTCGCCTTGACTACTGCAATGCTCTCTACATGGGGCTCCCCTTGAAGAGCACCCGGAGGCTCCAACTGGTCCAGAACGCAGCAGCGTGGGTAGTGACGGGAGCAGCATGGCGCTCCCATGTAACACCGCTCCTGCGTGAGCTGCACTGGCTCCCGGTGGTCTTCCAGGTGCGCTTCAAGATGTTGGTTATCACCTTTAAAGCGCTCCATGGCATAGGGCCTAGCTATCTTCGAGACCGCCTGCTGCCACCGACGACCTCCCATCGACCCGTGCGCTCCCACAGAGAGGGCCTCCTCGGGGTGCCATCAGCCAAACAGTGCAGGCTGGTGACCCCCAGGGGGAGGGCCTTCTCTGTGGGGGCACCTACCCTCTGGAATCATTTGCCCCCAGAGATAAGGAGAATCCAAGACCTCAGTGCCTTCCACCGTGCCCTTAAAACCTTCTTTTTCCAGCAAGCCGGGCTGGCCTAATTTTTTACGTGTTTTTAATTGTTTTGTTTATCGTTTTTAATTAATGGGGCCAAATTCATATATATCTTTTAATTGTATATTAATATTTGTACTTGATGTTTTTACTTGGCTGTTCACTGCCCTGAGTCCTCAGGGAGAAGGGCAGTATACAAATTCAAAATAAAATAAAATAAAAATAAAAATAAACAACACATGACATATTACATCACGTCATCATCAATGGTGTGTTTCCCTTACCTTTGCTAACGGTTCATGCACATGCACCACTTCTGCGCATGCACAGAGCATATTTGATGAGGTCCGGGCGGGTGGGCGAAGCCTCCTGCCACCGCTAATACTGGTTCAGCTGAACCGGGCCGAACCGGTACCAATCCGGTCACCATGTATTTTACAAAAGAAAAGCCAGTAGCTAAGAAGAAATCGTAGTAGTTTATGCTAACTGGAAAGAAAAGGATTACAACGGAAGCAAAATAGGTATGATTTCTTCTTAGCCCCGCTAGCACTAGCTTTACATTAGTGTTGTGCTGGTAGAGCAAAGAAGAAATCTCATCTCTTTTGCTTCCATGGCAATCCTTTCCTCCTCAGCCAGGGTAAATCACTAACGATTTATGCTGGCTGGAGTGAAAGGATTGCCATGGAAACAAAAGAGGTTATATTTCTTCTTCTTGATTATGCCACATGGCCCAGCTGACTTCCTGAGCTCATCAGAAATTTAGTAAGTGAATGGTGATGGGGGAGTGGGGTTGGGGAGGAATGCATAGTATATTGCAAAGCAGGCCAACATACTGGGGTCTGGGGATTGTGAGGACTGACTGGGCAAGATGGAAGGGAGATAGATGGGTGGGTATGCTGCAGCATCTCTGCAGTGAAGGAGTCAAGGACTCCCGGGGTGAGAGGCGCTGCAGAAATTCAACTTTGGAGCAGATTAGTATTTAGCATTTGGGGGAGTGTTGTAACTTCAGAAATTCGTTGAATGGCCAGTCATACCTAAAGGATTACCTGTACTTCTTTTTTTCACATCTTCTGCAACACTTTCATAAACAATAAAACTTACACTTTCTTTTGAATCTTACAGACAAAGATGATGCTAACACAAACACACTGGGCAACTGAGAATAACAAGCAACATTGAAAAGCAAAGCAAATTGAAGCAGAAATAAAAATATGTTCTATTTCCTTCAGAAAGCTGCAGAATTCGTCTACTTCATCATCAGCTAAGAGACAGAAAAGAGAAAATCATGAAGAGATTTGCAGCTGGAAAAAGTAGATTATATAGAATTTAAGAATACGTTACTTGAAAAGGTCAAAGGAGATCATTTTTCCGTTCAGAAAAAGAGGGAAATATCTGGAAGCCAGTGGGGAAGAAAATGTTAATTGGATAGTCACATATGGCAGCCAGTAATGCAGGCACCAACAAAATAAGGAATCACAAATATTTTTGACCTCCTCAAGAATGTCAGTGATGGAAAAGCTCAATAAATGTGCCTATTGTGGGAAAAGTAAAGAGTTCAAATCACAAGAGGATCTACACTGAACAAAAGCCATATAAATACTCTGAATGTGGCAAAACTTTAGTCAGAATAGCTCCCTTGCAATTCATAGAAGGATCCTCATAGTAGAGATGCCCTACAACTGCTCCCAATGTGGTAAATGCTTTTGCAAGCATGGCAACTTTGTGATACATCAGAGGACTCACACCAGGGAGAAACCATATGAGTGTCCAGATTGTGGGAAAAGTTTCATTGCAAATTCCCACCTGGTAAGACACCAGAGGACTCACACAGGAGAGAAACCCTTTGAATGTCCTGATTGTGGGAAACGTTTCAGTCAGAATTACTACCTAGTGATACACCAGAGGAATCACACAGGGGAGAAACCCTTTGAATGTCCTGTTTGTGGGAAAGGTTTCAGTCTCAATTCCACCCTGATTCAACACCAGAGGACTCACACAGGAGAGAAACCCTTTGAATGTCCTGAGTGTGGGAAAAGTTTCAGTCAGAATTCCAGCCTGGTGATACACCAGAGGACTCACACAGGAGAGAAACCCTTTGAATGTCCTGAGTGTGGGAAAAGTTTCAGTCTTAATTCCAGTCTGGTGAAACACCAGACGACTCACACAGGAGAGAAACCCTTTGAATGTCCTGAGTGTGGGAAAAGTTTCAGTCGGAATTCCAGCCTGGTGAACCACCAGAGGACTCACACAGGGGAGAAACCCTTTGAATGTCCTGATTGTGGGAAAAACTTCAGTCTCAATTCCTCTCTGGTGAAACACCAAAAGACTCACACAGGAGACAAACGACACAAGTGTGCAGATTGTGGGAAAAGTTTCAGTTACCCTTATGACCTGGTGATCCACCAGAGGACTCACACAGGAGAGAAACTATATGTGTGTCCTGATTGTGGGAAAAGTTTCAGTCTCAATTCCAGCCTGGTGATACACCAGAGGACTCACACAGGCGAGAAACCCTTTGAATGTCCTGATTGTGGGAAAAGTTTCAGTGACAATTCCAGCCTGGTGAAACACCAGAGGACTCACACAGGAGAGAAACCCTTTGAATGTCCTGATTGTGGGAAAAGTTTCAGTCGGAATTCCAGCCTGGTGAACCACCAGAGGAATCACACAGGGGAGAAACCCTTTGAATGTCCTGATTGTGGGAAAAACTTCAGTCTCAGTTCCTCTCTGGTGAAACACCAAAAGACTCACACAGGAGACAAACCACACAAGTGTGCAGATTGTGGGAAAAGTTTCAGTTACCGTTATGACCTGGTGATCCACCAGAGGACTCACACAGGCGAGAAACCCTTTGAATGTCCTGAATGTGGGAAAAGTTTCAGTCTCAATTCCAGCCTGGTGATACACCAGAGGACTCATACAGGCGAGAAACCCTTTGAATGTCCTGATTGTGGGAAAGGTTTCAGTCTCAATTCCACCCTGATTCAACACCAGAGGACTCACACAGGAGAGAAACCCTTTGAATGTCCTGATTGTGGGAAAAGTTTCAGTGACAATTCCAGCCTGGTGAAACACCAGAGGACTCACACAGGAGAGAAACCCTTTTAATGTCCTGATTGTGGGAAAGGTTTGAGTCTCAATTCCTACCTGGTGATATACCAGAGGACTCACACAGAAGAGAAGCCGTACAAGTGTCTGGATTGTGGGAAAGATTTCAGTATTTTGTCTAATCTTTACACACAGGAGAGAAAACTTTCAAATGTCCAGCTTGTGAACAATGCTTTAGGCGTAAATCATCTCTGATTGCTCACAAGAAAATGCACATGAGGCAAATATTGAACAGTTTAGAGAAAGCTTGAAATTCATTTCTGATCTCCCATTTGGAGTATAGATGAGAAATTGTCAAGAGATCTCAGGATTAGACCTGTAGGTGGAGAGAGAAAAATGGAAAATATTAGTTTGATAAAGGCTAATTACCTGTTTCTGATTATCAGCAGTACTTTCTGGATGTTTGCATTTGCAGAAGTCGTGGAATTTCTGCAAACAGGCCTTTGGGTGGTGTTTTTTGTATTTTGATTATGGAATTCCGACATGTGGAGTTTCAGCCTTCTATGTTGGTGAACTCCAGATTTTGAACCTCACAATTTCCCAGCCAGCATACAAGTAATCCTCGAGATACAACTGTGATGAGAACTAACTATTATGGATGCATTTAGCAATGGCGACAGTACTTTGGTTAACTAACCCCATCCCATGCTGCCTATTATGCAGCTATTAAATGAATGTGCAAGTTGCTAAATAGGACACTGGCTACCTCAGTGTTCGGGAAAACTCTCGGAGGCTTAGCCCAGGCCCAGGCTTGCCTGCTTCCCCCCAGGCATCCCTAGGCCTCATCCACCCCCACCACAAAGACCATCTATTGGTCTGGTTCCCAACCCTTGGTTCCTCCAAGGCATCCCTAGGCCTCCTCCACCACCCCCCCAAGACACCTATTACTCTGGTTCCCAACCCTGGTTTCCCCAAGGCATCCCTAGGCCGCCTCCACCCCCACCCCCCAAGACACCTATTGCTCTGGTTCCCAACTCTTGGTTCCCCCAATATAGGGGTGAAATGCTACCGGTTTGCTCCGGTTCGGGGGAAGCCCCCCCTCCACAAGCCTTCCCACAGAGTAACCCCCTAGGCCAGCGGTTCTCAACCTGGGGGTCGCAACCCCTTTGGGAGTCGAACGGCCATTTCACAGGGGTCGCCAAAGCCCTCTCTCCCCCCCCATGCCTTCACTCACCCTCACTCTCTGCTCTGTTGGATCGCCGGCCATTCGTTTACCCCGCCCACTCCCAATCTATTGCTGCCTCCGATGACTAGAGGAAAAAACCTGTTTAAATTCTCGCCGCGGGGCTTCAAAGGGCCGCCCTATAGCCAGTGGTGCAGCCGAACCGTTTGTTAAATTGCTGGCTTGCCCCGCCCCTCCGCACCACTATTTATTGCCAATAAATAGTGGTGGGCGAGGGGCGGGGGAGCCAGCAATTTAACAAATGGTTCGGTGTTTTTTTGTAATTTTATTGGCCCGTGGAGCTTCAGCATAGGCTAATTAGCCCTTGCTTAGATCGGCTCCCGACCCCCAGCTGATTTGCTCTCAGCTGTTTTGCTCAGAGCTCTGCTGCTTGCTAGGAAAGAGTGCAGATTTTTTTCCCCCTAGCTATACTGAAAAACGAAAGAGAAAGTAAAGCAGGCTGTTGGCTTTGCAAATTGGAAAATTAGGGAGGCAGATTTCTTTTCTTTTTCCTCACCAAAAAAGGTAGGTGCAAACAACGGGAAATTTAGGGAAAAAGAGGAGATTTTAAAACACAAAAGAAAAAAAGTTCTATTTAACTAGGGAATTGTAATAATTGAGATACTATTAATTGTATATTGTGTTGAAAGCAGAAATGGTTAAGTTGTGGTTTGGAGGAATATATAGGGGAAATTATTTGGTTTATTATTATTGGTAAATATAATTAATTGATTTGTAAGAAATTGGATTGCATGGAAATAATTGGAATATTCATGTTCATATTGATTAATATACAAAAAAGGTAGTTATATAACTAATTGATTTATATTAAAATGTTGAATTCATATTAAACAACTGTAATATTACATAATTAACCAATGTGAGGATGGATATAAAAATAGATGACAATAGGAAGGGGTATAATATAGAATAGAAGGGAAAAATTGAATTTGATTAAGATTAGAGATGAGGATGAAGGGTAATATTGGTTTTTTACAAAAATAGATGAGGAATAAATATGGCAAAAAGGAAATATAGAAATTGTAAATTTAATTGAAATGACTAAACACTGTTTAAATTTATGAACCGGCCAAATACTCTGTTCAAAGAAAATACATTGTATGTTTGTATGTGTGTTTCTAATTATTGTTATTTATTCATATTTGTTCTCTTTTATTCTTTAAAGTTTAACAATTCATTCTTTATCTTAATATCTTTATATTTGTTTGGGGTTGGCTTTCTTCCCTTTCATCTTTTTTATTGTACAGCAATCTTTCTCCTCAAACCTACCACCTCTCTCTTTTCTTTCCTTCTTACTTTCTCTTCCTCCCCCTCTTCTTCTCCTCCCTACTTCCTCTTCCTTTCTCCTTCTCCTCCTCTCTTCTTCCCTCTCTTACCCTCACTCCTACTCTAATTTCCCTTCCCTTCCTTCATCCCTCTCTATTGCTGTATCCTTTTATGCATATGGACTACTCAGAGGGCTGAAAAAATTATTTCTGACTGGTCCTCGCACTTTTGACCAGTCTTCGAACTTATGACTGTCCTCACATTTTACGTTTTTGCCCTATCTTGTCACCATGGTGAAGAGAAGCAGTTGTGAAATGAGTGACACATTGTTAAGAATGCTACAATGGGCATAAATGATGACCAGTCATAAGTGCGAAGACAGGTCAAAAGTGCGAGGACCTGTCAGAAATCACTTTTTTCAGCCCTCTGGGTAGTCCTTTTGTGCACAGGGACTACTCAGAGGGCTGAAAAAGTTATTTTTGACTGGTCCTTGCACTTTTGACCAGTCCTCGAACTTACGACTGTCCTCACATTTTACGTTTTTGCCCTATCTTGTCACCATGGTGAAGAGAAGCAGTTGTGAAATGAGTGACATGGTTGTTAAGAATGCTGCACGGGCATAAATGTGAGGATGGTCATAAGTGTGAGGACCCCTCAAAAGTGTGAGAACCTGTCAGAAATGACTTTTTTCAGCCCTCTGAGTAGTCCCTATACACATAGCCATGGCCACCCAGTCACATGACCAGCTAGCCACACCCACCCGGTCACATGACCTCCAAGCCACGCCCACAAAATAAGCCACACCCACAGAACTGGTAGTAAAAAAAATTTAGAACCCACCTCTGGTTGGGGGTCACCACAACATGAGGAACTGTATTAAAGGGTCGCGGCATTAGGAAGGTTGAGAACCACTGCCCTAGGCCTTTTCCCACTCCCACTGGCTCCCTGCAGGTCTTAGGCCTGCTTAATTGCAGACTTAGGCTTTCCTTCCAAAAGCCACCCGTAACCCATCTCTTAGGTCTCCCCAGGACTTTCCTTCCCTCACAGAGCCTCTCCAGGCCTCTCCTTCCTAAAACAGGGTCCCGGTAGTCCTTAGGTCGAATTCCAACCCTACCAGGCCTCATACCGTCCTCCTCTTTATCTTTTGAAGACATCTGAACCTTATATTGGGGAAGGAGGGTAGGACGGAAATCTCTCAGCTGTATGACTATTTCATGGAAGCAGCCATTATTTTCACTGTGTCTGGGATTCATCGCTGGGCCCTGAAGTGGATTTGTGGAAGTGGCTGCCATTTTGCCACGACTGCCTCAGGACCAAAATGGCGGCTGCTTCTGGGTCATTGTCATGCAGGAGTAATGTAGATAAAAGAAATAATAGGGAAAATCGGATGTATGATCTCATGCTAAACATATATGGAAAATGTATGATCTCACTGAATCCTTTGTCTTAGAAATGTATAAAACCAGTTGTATCAGGGTTCTTCTCTTGTTCAAAGCTTCAGGTAAAAACTGGCTCTGAACCTTGCGAAAGAAAACTGTCTCTGGCTGACCTAGGAATGTTGCTTGGTCCTTTCATTTCACAACAGGAGAGGAAGAAACTGCTCTGTTTCGCTACCTTAACACTGTGCAGACCACCTTAAGGAATTGTGGGTGCACTGAAAATGATGGCTGCTTTCATGAGATCTTGAAAATTTACCTGTGAAAAAGGTGATGGGCTTGTGGGGAGTAGGCCCGAGGCCCAGTGAAAAAAAGCAGTGTAACATTTCAAATGAAAAGCTTTTTTGCCTTGCAGATGAACCTGGTGGAGAAAAGCTGTAGGAATATTGAGTTGAGGAGAAAAGGGATCGTGGCTTTGATCACAAGATCTCCAGGTTTATTAGCAACTCCTGCTAATAAACCTCCTCTTCTTGGAAATTTATTTATTTATTTATTTATTTTTAAATTTATATACCGCCCTTCTCCCTGAGGACTCAGGGCGGTGTACAGCCAGAATTAAAAAACATGAAATACAAATATTAAAAACAATTAAAATATATATAAATTTAGCCCAAAATTAAAAATACAAACCAATTAAAACATTTAAAATTTCTTCTTAAGCCAGCCCGGCTTGCTGGAAAAAGTGGGTTTTAAGGGCACGGCGGAAGGCACTAAGGTCTTGGATTCTCCTTATCTCTGGGGGCAACTGATTCCAGAGGGTAGGTGCCCCCACAGAGAAGGCCCTCCCCCTGGGAGTCA